TGGAGCTCTGGCAGCCTCGGGGCCGTGCCCATTCCCTGGGGAGCCTGGGCAGTGCCAGCAGCCTCTGGGGGAAGAACCTTGCCCTGATGTGCAGCCTGAGCCTCTCTGGGATAGTTCCAGGCCATTCCCTCAGGACCTGTCACAGAGCAGAGCCGCCCCTCAGGAGAAGCCGCAACCCCTGGTGAGTTCTGACCTCAGTTTCCCCTTCAGGTTGAGCAATCCCAGTGCCCTCAGCTGCTCCTCGTGTGGCCCTTGTAGATCCTTCACAATCTTCCTAGCCCAGTGTTATACCTCTATATATTTCCTATTTTTTTTCACTGGGATTCAGCACTGGGATCAGTTTTAATGCCAGTGTGGTGAGGAAGAGGCTGTAGCAGCACATCCTGCAGCACTCAGCAAGCATCACTTAGCCACTTGTCCTTTTTTAATTTAAGATTTTTTCATAGTCCTCATCTGTATTTGAGTGTGCAGTGGGCTTGTGGTTCCACACAGTTCCCAGGCAGCAGCCAGTTCTTCCTGTTTGTGCTCGAATTCCAAGCTCCAGAATGCTTACTAGTCCTGCTTTTTGTGCCCAGGTAGATGAAACGCTCCTCACAAGTGTTTATTAAGTTGATTTTCAGTCTGTTTGATCTTAACTTGCCTCTGCTTGAGCCTGAGGTCAGTAAACCTTTTGCAGGGTTTTTCACGAGTAACAATATGGGATCTTACAGGGTAAGTAAGGGTTCAAGTTAATGATCCCAAATCCTGTCATTTATGATGTAATGTTTCATGAGGTTTTCATTAGGCTTTGGACTCCACATTATTTTTTTCCCATCCTTCATCAAAAAGGGGACAGTGGGAATAAGGAGTGAACGTTGCTGTTTAAGTGAAGATTGGTTTTATAACTGAGGATTTGTTGGTGAAGCTCTAACTGCTCTGCTGTACAATACAAAGTTAAAGTGATGCTTTTTGCTACAAACACAAAAATTGTTGCAATAATCAGGGTTTTGCTTGTGCTGTTCTTCTCCCCCCAAAAACAAGGTACTGAAAATACAAGAGCTGGCAGAAGTTGCAGGCTCCCACACAACTTTCTGTTGAGAGCAGAAGAATTTTGTACAGCCATTTCCTACTGAGACTTGGCTGCTTTTCGTTTCATATCAGATTTCTCATCTAGGCTAGGTTGTTAACTAAGCTGAGAGTTAGGATAATTTCTGCCAGTAGAGAGGAGGAATTAAGTCACCTTTCCAAGTCACTTTTCTATGTTTGCTTTTTTATTTTGAAAGTATCATCCCTGCCACTGACTCAGACTTGCAGTGGTACAAGGACAAGGTTGGGGTTTTTTTGTTTTGGAAAGAGGTTTCGGAGGGATTTTTCACTTCACTTCTCCCTTCACAATATAACTTCAAGTCTTGGATTAGTGAGACACTCTATCCCTGAACAAAAGCTTAATGCCTGAGAAGGTAGGGAATTGAGAATTATCTTTTCCAGTTTTGTATTACATATAAATGACAAAATCTGCCATGTTCACATGGTGAATTTTGAGCAGGGCCCTGAGGAGTTTCCTTTCAGCTGGCTTGTTTTCCAGTCAGACATTTAGGTCCAAGAGAAGACAGAACTTTTTGTTCTTTGAACTAAAATGTACTATTTTCTCATTTCCTCCTTGATTTCTCTATTTGCTATGAAGACCCCTCTACCCAACAGAAAGCTGCCGTGGCTCCGCAGAGCTGCCTTCCCTGCCCTGGCCTGAAGGTCACCTGAAAGTTAGCAGGAGCCTTCAGCAGAACTTTGGGAAGTTGAGCTGAAGCACATTGCCAGCATGAACTTCTCCACAAGTCTGCCAGGAAATCACTGGGAGTCTTGGCAACTTTTTTATCAGGGAAGGATGAAAAAGACTCAATCTAGTTTATGTTGGTTTTTTTTTCTGGGAAATCCAATCTTAGTTAATCTACTCCATTGCCTTTTGTTTCAATCCAATTTTCTGGAAATGTTCCCAATCAAATCCTGGAGAGCACGATGCCAGTGATTTTTTCATTAATCTTTTTTTCATCTGAAAGCTGGAATCTGCTAATGCAGAGAAAAATGGGACTAGTTATTGTAAACAAATTAAACTCCTATTTTGCTGTACTTTCTAAAGCCTTTTATTTGCTGGTCCTGGAATTAGACTTTCCTGGTTTAGAAGTCTATCTAGAAGTGAGAGGTTGTGATGAAATAGCTTCTTTTTAGTTTTCCTTTTTTATTTCTACAGTTTTTAATGTCATTTCCCATTGTCTTTTCTTCCCTGTGTTATCAGTTTGTATCTACAAGGATCTCCATCTGATTTCCAGTGGCACTTCAGCAACTGTGTTGCAGCCAGAACAATGGCTTTGCTTCCAGCTCTTTTCCTCTCTGTGGATATAATCTTAGAAAAATCACACATTTGCTGTATCGCGGATATAAATGTCATTTATCATCTGCTAAAAAAGTTGTAATCTAATCTTTCCACTTTCTCTAAATAACTAGAGCAGTCCGTGGTAGCTCCAGACCACAGGCCAAATGCAGTAAATGATTGAGGCTCTTCTGTTCTCACTACTTGCTCAGCACGTCCTGATACGAATCCTGAGGGCTTGGGAGAAAACTGGGAACTGAATGGAGGTGTTCAGGCATGGAACTCAAAGTGAGTGCCCCAGGCTCTCCTGAGACTGTGGGAGAGCCACTTCAATTCCATAAACCTTCCTTTCCCACACTTACTTATTAGTTATCACGGATTCAGATCTTATTCCTCTGATGAAAGTACAGGAACTTGGAATATGAGCTTTTTGATATATTTAGCTGATCTTATGGCTAACCTGGATAAGGGGAACCCTGACAGTCTTGGTTGTTTCTTTTCCTAAACGCTGCATCTGTTGGGGGAAGGAGTGCCTGGGAAATACACTTTTTTCACATTAGAGAGAATATAATTGGACTTGGCTCTGTAGGATTAAGAAGTCCTGTGAGGTGCAGTGCTCATCCTGAGCTAATGCTGTGAGCAGACTGGCTGGCCTGCTCTGGAGAGCTGGGAAAAGCAGCCTCTGGAAAGGGATACAGCTCCAGCCTCCTTAGGGAGAGGCTCATCCCTGTGACCCAGCCTGCTCCTTGTCTGATGTCTGTAACTGGTGGCTGCACTCTGGGTGGGACAATGGCAAACTTGTGGCACCCTGACTCCTGACTGGCAGGACTGGGAGCCAGGGATCCCATTACTCACCTGCTTCTCTAAGGTGTTCTCCCTGCTCTCTAAGGTGTTCTGAAGAGGCTCAAGCAGCTCATTGGCTCAGCTGGACTGTATTTTCAAGCTTGCATCTTTTACTTGGGGAGGAGAAACACTAACAAACGTGGAGCAGACTCAAAGCTAGTGCTCCCAGTAGGGGCCATCCCAGTTCACTCTCCTGCAGCCCTCAGGAAGTCACTGCAGTGCTGCCATCAGTGTGGCTCTGTGGGAGGGCATTTCCGATGGGTAAATCAACCCTTGCACCTCAAAGTGATGAGGGAAGTGGGAACACAAGCTCCTGAGGAACACACCCAGCCTCAGGACACTGTGCAAGTGAAATGCAATCAGTGTTGGTCTGCTTTTCTCAGCTCCCTTGTTTGTCTGAGCTCCTGGTCTAGTGGATTTGACAAGACACTGAGTCACAATTTCCGGGTTCACTGCCAGGACAGTTTTATACAAATCAAGTTACCATTGGCTTTGGTGCCCTTCATTAACTTGGGATAAGACATTATCTCACAAGGATGTGCTGAACTTTAGTGTTTAAGGTGGTGTCAGGTGAGGCTGAAGAGTGCTGGAAGAGCATGTTATAGATCCTGTCAGGCTGAAACCTGAACAGCTGCAAACAAAGTTAGTTGGGAGTTTCACAGCTGCCCTCATGTTCCTGTTACAGGCTTGGTTATACTTGTAAAAACATTTTTGTGCTCTTTTCATAAAAGGCACAGAGCAGGGTCTGTGGGATGTCCTGTATGGGTGGTAAAGCCTAATACACTTGATTCTGATTATTTTGCTTCTAGTTTAAAAAAATCTCTTGGCAGCAGCCTGACTTTCCTTAATTTTCTGAATTCCTCCAGTAAAACCCTCCAGGACATCATAACAGCAAGATCATGTGAACTGTTTGTCAGTTGATCCCATTTTGTGTAACTCTTGCTTCTGATCTTGCTTGAAACCACAGCCCTTAGCACGAGGCCCCTTGTGTTGCAGGGCACAGCACAGCTGTTCTTGCACTTTTTCTGCTTTGTCCCTTTTTTCCCCATAGCATTTGTTGGTTCCAGCTTTCCAAGCAGAGCCAGTTACCCTAACAGGGTTTGTTTTGTACACGGTGTTGAAGAATTTCTGTGCAATTGATGATTTATCTGCCTTGTTATTTTTTTTTTCTCACTTCCCAATGCTCCTAAAAACTGGCTGATAGCTTTGAAAACATCACATTTCTTCATTAGGGGGCAGATAGAGTCACAGGGTGATTTGGGGTGGAAGGGATCCAAAAGCCCATCTCGTTCCACCCCCTGCCATGGGCAGGACACCTCCCACTATCCCAGGTTGCTCCAAGCCCCATCCAGTCTGACCTTGGACACTTTGAGGGTTCTAGGGGCAGCCACAGCTTTTCCCTCCCAGGGAATAATTTCTTCCTAATATCTTTTCTAAACCTGCTCTCTCTCAGTTTGAATACTAAAATACTTAAATACTAAAATAAACTAAGCTTGCTTTGTTATAATATCCAGAAGCAAGCAAACCACTAATTTATCTGATACAGATATGAATGTTTGAAATGTGTTTTGGTTAATGTGTTGGAAAGTAATCTCTGTGATGCACTTAATCAGATCAGGGAGTTCTAAAATCTCTTTGCATTTGTGCAAAGATCTTATGAGGGAGACTCAGGAGCTGCTTTTGTTGCTCTGGGGATCTCTGTGAGCATCCCAGTGCTTGCTTTGGTCCTAAAATAATCTGAGGAGTAGTTAATGATTAGCCTTTGATAGAGATAATGATGTGCTTGTCAGCATTATCTGAGGGTTGAGAAACTTTGATCGGTCTCAGACTTGTTGCCTCTCTGGAGAAAAAGGCTCTGCTGGAGTTGGTAGATGGAAAACCTGTCTCTGGAAGAGTAAGTACTCAGCATGTTTTAGCCCTGAATCATTTCTGTTTTGGATTAGCAGCTCTGTGGCTGTCCAGGGGTTTGAAAATGATGAAAAAGCCAGCATTCAAAGCTCTTTCCCAGAGTGGGTTTTTGTCACTCATAGAAAAATTGTTGATGGCTCTTGTTCCGGCTTTCTGTGCCCTACAGTCACGGCTCTTCCTGTCAGAAGAGTGTCACAAGGCCAGGGCTCTTCCAAAGATAAGTTCCTTTCCAGAGAATTGAGTTGATTGCTCTTTTCTTCTTCTCAGTACTGGAGATCTTCTACCTTGCTGAGATTGTATTTGCAATGACTCAGTCATTTCAATAATACTTCCAATAGTTCAGTTGCATTTTCAAGGGGAGAATGCTCTGTTCCATGGACTGGGGCTATGAACTTGTTCTCTGAACCCTTACAAGTATTTGCATTACTACCTGGAAGCTGTTTATATATCACTGTGCCATCCACTTGCTGTTTGCCAAGATCATGGATCAAAAGTAGGGAGATGCCTCTGGTGGTGGATATTTGGCCTTAACCATCTGCCAAAACAGAGATCTGCCAAAACAGAGATTTGGTTGTGTAACATCCAGAGATCGAATTCCCTGGGCTTAATTAAAAACTCACTGGAATGGATTTTGCTGCTGGTGACCTGCATTTTGCCCATGAACAGCTTGAGGCTTCTCAAAATAAGTATTTGAGGCACACAAGAATTTGATTCTTGGCTGTGGTAGAGCAGGTTCCTGTGTTGAGGGACAGTCATGGATGGTGCTGCAAAATGAAACAAACACACATCCATTTTCCTCTGCAAGAAAAGGTATTTTTCTAAAAGTCAGTCTTGTGAGCTCTTTGGATGAAAGCTGCATTTCAAAGGTGACCCTGAGATGCCAGAGCAGGAGCTGGAAATCCCAGAGTATCCCAGTAGGAGCTGACATCAACCCCTGGCTGTTGAGGCAGTGTTTGACACAGGCTGGGATGTGGCAGCTCCAGGGAAGGGAAATGGTTGAGTGGCCACCTTAAAACGCTGTGTCTGCACATGGACACGCTTTTGAGGGGTAATTACAGACAATCAACTGCTTAAATATGAAAAGCAAGGAGTGAAATGGAATTGCTTTGCAAGGATGCTTTCCCATGTGGTGGAAGGTAATGTGTGTGTGACTGTGCTGGACATGGAAAAACCAGTATGTCCCATATCATACATATGGAATGGCCTCCTAAACATTAACCAGGAGTTTTGGAGTGTGGTTTTCTTGTTACTCAGATTCTCAAAACACCTGAAAGTCAGTTCAGAATTTGTACAAGTGTTGCCTTTTCTGGGCTAAGTCTGATTCTAATGCTGAAAAGCAGCCAGAGAGGGAAAATGGGCAAGCAGGGTAAGATCTGGGAATCTCCTGTGTATCACTGTGCTGGACTCCCTTTTATGCAGCTTCTAATAAGGCAGTGTCATCCATTTATTACCCTCAGGTTTAGTTTTACCTGCATGGGACAAAGGTATTTATGCTGCTGCAAGATAACATGTGTAAAGAGGTAATAACAGATAACATATGTAATCCTTCACCTGTGTTAAAGGCCCACTAATGCACTTCTAGGACACACTGAATCACTTTTGGCTCTGAGGAAACTTGTGCTTCCTTTCTTGGGAATGTACTTTTTTATTGTGGTTTCATTTTGTGTCTCCTGAGATTTATTTTACAGTTTTACAGGGTTTAAGGCTTGAAGACTCCATAAAATCGATCTGGTCAGAGCTGTTTATGTTGTGTAGCTTGGTGTTTCCTTCCCACTCCAGCAACCATGGAGCAATGATTTATAAAGATTAACTTGCAAGTAGTTCCCTGTCTTGCATCCTGACATATGTCATTCCTTAGAGATGGAATGCTTCTGCATGTGGCCACTGAACACAAACAATAATCTGTGTCCTCACCCTGTGGACAGACACATTTTTGTGGGAGACAGGCTCCTTTCCATAGGAACAAGTGGTGCAGGAGGTGTTAAATGTGGAGTAATCTGGATGCTGAATTAGTGATCATGGTGAAGAACCTTGTTTGCATGTGGTGAGGATTTTTTGTTTTTTTCATTTGAAGAGAAAACTTCTCCCTTCATTCAAAAAGTGTCTGTTATAGGTAGAGGAATACATGCTAGAAACTGTTTATGATTAGGGCATATGAAATAGGAAGTGAAATTCTCCACTAGGCCTGGTTTTTCCAAGGAAGCAGAAGTTGTCTAATCTTACAGAATACACATCTTGCAAGATGGGGTTCCAAATATTAATATATTTTTATATTAAAAAGTTTTTGAAGAGTATCACAAGGCTCAGGACTCTGTCCCATTTGTTCTCAGACTCCTCTGAGGCAGCAGGATGGTTCCTGGTCTCTGGCCATATGGATCACATTTCCTTGGTCACCATTCCTGTGTTTGGTTGTGTAACATCTGAGCAAAAACCACCACTGAGGATAAGGAAGTATCTGTTTATTCAGGAATTACGTAATCTTGGAAAATATGGGTCACATGGCCCTGCTTTTCTGTCTGCTCTTCCCAGTGCTGTCCTGTGTCTCCTCACTCCTCAGGATCCTCCGTTGTCCTCAGCTGATGAGTGAGTGCTGAGAGGTTTTAGCAGGAGGTTCCCAGGTGACTCCTGGCTGAGCACCACCCACCCTCCTGCTCCTCCATCTCAGCACAGCTCTTACTCTCCTGGCCTTTGAGCCATCCTGCCTTACCTCTGCCTAAACTTCCTCCTGAGGTTTTGTGTTCTGCAGGGTTGTTTTCATCTGCCTTTCACTCCATTGGGCCTGTGGGTAATGACATGGTGTGTGCCTCACTTAATGAAGTTCAGTGCATTGTCCTGTAAAGAACAATCTGTCCTGGGTTATTTTTTCTTCTTGTTCAAAGATTACAGATTTCCTGAGGCGTCTGCAGAAGCTGGGAGATTAGGAATGACCGCCCCCTTCTAGGGAAACCTCTAACAGAGGGTGACCAGACAAGTTTGCTATGAAAATAAACTCCATCAAAGGGCCATTATTGTAGCCATGCTGAGAGGAAGAGCTCTGGCCCCTCCTCAGGTAATGGGGATTGTGCTGAGTGGCTGTGACCAGCTTTGCTTTAGTTGTACAGCTGAAGGATGCTTTGATTCAGAGCAGAGGACAGGACCTTAAGGATCGAACATATGCTCATACTTCATCATCTTGTTTAAATCTTCTTTTTAATTAAACATTAATTAATGCATATAACTGTATCAAGCTGCCAAATGATGTGGTGCAGCTCCAGGAAGCCTGTGTGAGCCGACATCCCAACTGGAATCCATAGTCTGGAACTGGAGCACTGTTTGGGGTGTCTGTGTGATGGCTCCTTGTGGAGAGGGCAGCCTGACTCTTGGGGACACAGCAACCTGGTAAAGAGAGGCACGAATATATTGGTAGCAAGAAACACGAGGATTTGATTAGAATAAAATAAGCAAATGATGGCAGCCAGGAGGCCTGAAGGATGGGTGTTTGGAGGAGCAGGTACTGCAGGGTGTGATTGTTGGCCCCAGCCCTGTGATCTGCCTGGGCTGCAGAGAACCTGAGCTCAACTCTGGCTTAAAGTGTCACCCCTAAACCTCCCTGTGTGGGTGATGTGGTTGTGCTTCATTCTCCTCCTACATCCTGCCCGTGGGGTTTGTCAGGATCACTTTAATAAGGGTCTGTCTCAGACTGGGCAAATGCCATCAGTTGTGGGCATGGCTCACGGACAGCAGAGTGGTTTTGATGTGCCAAAACTTAGTCATTATGTTCAGTATCCACAACTGTGCTGTAATTGTTCCAGCTGGGATCCTCAGTGGAGGTGGTGGCAGAGGAAAGGATCTGTGTGGATTTTTCCCCTCACAAAACATGAAAGCACTGCACATTAAGAGCCCATTCTTTGCCTGTGTTGTGCATTTCAGCTGGGAGAGCTGGGCTCTGGGTGTCTGTCCCTGCTAACTGCTGCCATCCTGGCATGTCACAGGCTGCCCCGGCGTTGATCCCTCTTGAATCTGAACACAAGATGTTGTCTGCAGCCCTGCTCAGCTCTTTTTTTGCCCATTTTTATCTGTTCCCTGCATTGCAGCCCCTGGCATCTCTGGCTGGACATCCTCCAGAGTGCCTGTCGTCCTTCAGATGTTCTGAAACCTGTGGGTGTGAATAGCTCAGCCTGCTCACAGGTAGACAGGGAGAATGTGCCCTGTGTCACACTGTGTGTATTCCTGCTTGGCTCTGCTGATGCAGTTTGAATCCAGCAAACTTCCATGGTTAGGGACAAGCCCCAGGAAATCCAGATTTGTGCAGCCTCACCCACAGTGTGTATTGGAGCTCCTGAGCTGTGCCCTTCTCTTTCCCTTTATCCAAACCCCTTCTGGTGTGCTGAGCTTTTGTGAAGCTTTAAATTTCTGGGAAAAGCTTTAGGATGAGACTGTAAGTACCAGGGCAAGCCACAATTCTGTGTGAGCTCACAAACATTCCTTGAGTTCTTAATATAGCTCTAAGAGTTCCTTCTTCAGGAATTGTGCAAGGGAAAAACAGGGGTGTGCAATTAAGCGTTCTGGGCATAGCACAGTCACTCCCTGTGTCTCGGTGCCAGCCTGGGGTTGCTGAAGTTGCTTGGGAGAGTTCCAAGGGGAGTTTTCACGCTGGGAAACAGCAGTGTGTATCTGCAACACATGTTCTGCTGCATTACTGAAGAATGTGGTGTTTGTTCCCTGTGTCTTTAAAGTGTGTCTTTGCAGCTTGGCCCAGGGGCCTGGCCACCATTGCTGGGTGCTGCTGCAGCATGAGCAGGTGGAATTGGGCTGTCCTTCAGCTGTGCCTTTAAAGCAGCTCTGGAGCTCTGCTTGGGATCCTGCAAGAATCACAAGTCCACCCATTTGGAAAGGAAGCAGTTAAAGCAGAAAAGTTTGTCAGGAAATTGAATAAACTAAAAGCAGTGCTTAGGTCTCCTGATGACCAGCTCAGTGGAGCCCACAGCTAGAGCCAGTGAACAGAGCTGCAGTGTCTGCAGGCTGCTGCTTCCCTCCCACTCCATTTACAGCACTGCTAAACAAAAAAGGGATTGGGCTTGGGACCACAAGCCAGGAGCCAGTGGAGCTCAGTCTGCCAGCAGCACTGCTGTAAGTAGAGCACAGGGAACTCCTGGGTTCCTTTCCCATTCCTTCTGTGTTTTTTCTGTAGCATTCCTTTGTGTCATGCAGCACTCAGCCATATGTGATGTGTAAGCAAGAGGTCTTTGCTTTTCCAGCTTGCTATTTGTAATAATTTTCCTTTGGCTTTCTCTCAGGAACTTTGATTTTAATTCTTAGTGAATATTACCAAGTCTTTTCTTGCTTGTTCAGGAGAAGAGAGGGAACTCCTGACCCTGTTCTTGCTGTCAGAAGTGTTGGTAGAGAGATGTTGGGTCAGTCACAAATCACTCCAGCTGTGCTGAGAGGAGTTCAGGGGGTTGTGAGCAGGAGCCAGTCCTGTGCTGGCCACAGCAGCAGCACCCTCTCTGTGGGACAAATAACTGCTGTAAAGGACACTGGAGAGGGGATTTTTAAGGCTCTGGTCCTTTTGGGCAGAGCCAGGGGAATTTTATTTCTTGGGTTTTCTGAACTGGTTTGGGAAAGATGAGGCACTGTTTAGAAGGGAAGAGTTGATGCTGTAATGGGCATTGATTTAGGGGTCCAGTGTTAATCCTGTTGGACTTCTGATTTGGAAAGGGGCTTCATTCCCTTTGGGACTTTAAGGGAGATCTGTTTGACGTTGAGCTGATTGTAGAGGACTTTCTGGGAGCTTGGTAGATCCTTCCCATAGTGTGTCCTGTTTCTGCATGTCCTGTGTTTCTGCATTGATAAGTCTCTTTTCCTTGGGCGTTTGCCACAGGAAAAACTGCAATTTGCTATGAAGTTGCAGGACTCTGGATAAACACAGCAGAAGCGATAGATTGGGAAGCTGTGGAGGGGGTTATATGTAATGGCAGTGATCTTTGGCTGAGACCTGCTCTGGCTTCGGCTTCTCATCAGGTCCAGCTCATTTACCTGATTATTCTTTTACTCATTACTCATTTACCATATCACCTCCTGCCTGTCCCTCCCTTCTCTGTGCCCTGGAGTTGCAAACGTGGCCTCCTGGTGTGTGTGAGGTGAGGCAGCAGTGGTTTGGTGTTGGTGGAGGGTGAGAGTGAGTCCTGGTGCTGACAGTTTGCTGCTGTCAGGTCCTGCTCCTGGCTGCACCTGTCCTGATCCTCCAGCCTGGATTGCAGAGCTGCCACGGTGGCATTGCAGGGCTGGGACATCTCAATGTGAGCAGGTCCTGCTTAAAGAAAGAGGAGAATTTCCTCATTCCTTTCTCCCGTTCCACCCTGTGTGTTTTCTTAGGCAGTAGGTTACTGCAAAGCATAAAAAACCACTGTGTGTGTGTGTCCCTTGTGACAGGTACACCCTGGGGTCTTCCCCTTCAGGTGTTCAGAGTACCTGAGCCTGATGCAGCCATGGGCTGTGGCAAATCTCTCTCCATGCTCAGGAATCCACTCCAATGCCTCTCCCTCTCAGTGCAAACATACAGAGCAGGCAGCAGCCAGAGATCAAATCACCCATTCAGGCAGAAATACCTGCTGAAGGGCTGGCTTTGTACAAGGCTAAGTCTATTTAAAGAATAGAAAAACTATTAGAATAGAAATAGAAACTTGTGGGGGGCGGATTTCTTCCCTTCAGCTCTGGAGTCATAAAGCACCACCTTGTAATACACAGAGCTCCACATCTGTCAGCTTCTTAGGAGCTGTGCAAACCAACCAGGGATTTGCAGCTTGGAATATTACACATCCATTAACCTGTTGCTGCTGCTGCTCTAGATACTGTTTTTTACCTTAAGGCTTAGGTAGAGATCTCCTAAATTGTAAATCAGAGTCTGATTGTCCACTGGAACTGATTTATTTTTAAACAGAAATTTATCCACTCTTTGTTATCTTCAGTGACCCAAAACACAGCTGAAGTGGCTTAGATGAGGTTATTTCCTCTTAAGCTACTTAATACCTCATCCTTTCAGGATCTCATAAAATGTCCTTCAGTGTTTGGTGGCTGCAGCAAGGGGTTGGATTTGGTGTTGGAGCACTGGGATAGCAGGGTGGGATGGAGCTACCCAGGTGAGGGTCAAACTTGCCCTTTGTAACCTGTACCAAGGCCTGCCCAGCCACTCCTGAACACCTGACCATGTTCTTTGTTCCTACAGAGTAAATAGCCTGAGATCACATCCACTATTTCTCCCTTTCTGCAGACAAATGATGATTAGTGAGAAGAAAAGGAGTGAAAAGCTGGACACGGCCCAGCCACGAAGACAGTTTTTCATCTGGTAACCAGCCAGGGCTTCTGTGGAGTGTTTTGGAAGCTGCTGAGCTTGGCAGGAATGCGAAATCCTAAAAGGAATAAATAGTCATTGGACAGTAGTCACTGGTGAGGATGTTGTATTCAAAAGCAATGGATCAGTCAGCTGAGAGAAGAGGGAGGAGACAGAGACAGCTCTAAACTCTGCTCTCTGTGGACAGGACACATAGAATGGCTGGAGCTGGGCCAGGCCAGGCTCAGGCTGCACATCAGGGCAAGGTTCTTCCCCCAGAGGCTGCTGGCACTGCCCAGGCTCCCCAGGGAATGGGCACGGCCCCGAGGCTGCCAGAGCTCCAGGGATGCCCAGGCTGGGATGTTGGGGGGTCTGGGCAGGGCCAGGGCTGGATGATCCTGGTGGGTCTCTTCCAGCTGAGGATATTCCATGGTTCTATGACTCCAGGAGATTTTGGCTGCAGGAGAGGGGAAGTTCTTGTGTTACGTCTTTCCTCTCACAGCACATTTACCTTTGATCCCACGGGCAAAGCGCTTGGGCTATTCTTGTTCCTTCCCTGATGCAAAAGACAATTTGAAGTTTGTGTGTCTTGGCAGGGGATTCCTTTCCCAAGTGTTTGTATTTTGGGACTGCAGCTCTAGAGCCTGAACATTTCGGCTCTGGAACAGGATGATCTTCCAAGCTGTGCCTTATGGAAATCACAGTGGGCATTCTGCAGGTATCCCTTGGTGAAGTTTTTCTCTGTCAGCTGAGCTACTGCTCACATTGTTCTCTCTTCTTATCTCCCCATGAACATTTTTCTGGTCTCAATGTTCAAGCACAAATCAGGGACAAAGTGAGCTAAAAAGTATTAGCAGAAATATGGACAGGGAATTCATTCTGCTTTAGCCAGTGCCATTGGATTCTGTGATAAGTTACTTTCCAGGGGATTGTTTTGAAGTTGTCTGATGAAATAAGAAATAGGCTACAAACTTCATCTGCACAGAGGTGCAGAACATACCTGAGCTGTGGGTGCCTGGTGTCACTTCTTGGTGCTTCCCTGCATTATTTAATTTCAGTGTTTGCAGGGTATTACTTCTGTGTTTCTCTTGAGTTCCACCCCAGCACTGCTGACTTAATTTCCTTGCTTTCCCCAAATCTTTAATTTCTCTCATTGCTCACTTCAATTTAACCACAAAGCCCTGTCACAGATGCTCCACAGGGCACACTGGTGTTCCGGGCCACCAGAGACCCCTGCACAGGGTCACTGTCACATGCTGAGCCAGCTCCACCGCTGGCTGCCTTTTATTTGCTACTTCCAGTTTAGAAAGCTCTTCTAGAGTCTCATTTCCTCTCTTCAGTCTAAATATAGCCATGCCTGTTCAAACACCATGCTGCCTTTTTGGCTTAAAAAACTGAAAAAAACACACTTGTCAATTCTCCTGATGATTTATGTGGAAGAAAGTCTGTCTCTCATTTCTTTTTAAACTTTAATTTGTGAAGTGTCCGAACTTTGCTTTTTATTTCACTCGGTTTTACTTCAGTGCAGGACTGGAGTGGGAGGGTACAGAGGGTTCCAGGCAGGGTCCAGAAGGACAGATGCTGTGCTTTCAGGACTGACTGCTATTCCCAGGTTATTTTCTCTCCTATTGCTGTTTCTTCCTGATGATTTTCATTTCCCACCAGCAATTTCCAGCCCACAGCCCACAGGTAACCAAGGAGGGTATTTTTATTTTTTTTAGTGTGTCCAGACATCCCTGATTTGTGGTAACCAGATTAAGGATTGGGACTGGCAACCTCTTGAGTGTTTCTGTCACTGTGGGTAATGTGATTAGAGGGAGATGTGGCAGTGTAAAGCTCATGGAAATGAAATTGGATTGCCTGTAGCTGTTGCAGACCTTTACCTGGCAGTAGGTCTTGTACCAACTAACACAATTTCTGTTTCAAACATGTTCCAAATAAAATGCATAACTGTCAATTAAGAGAAAGCCTGTAATCTGATCCTTTAGTATATGCAATTTAAAGTGGGGATTATGATATTTTTGCCTCTTGCGAAACTGCACTTGGGAAGGGACTCTGTTTTTTTCTTCATGTAGATAAGAAATGTTCCTTTATGCTGAGCACTTGCCCCAGGTGCCATCTCAATCAAATTAGACTGCAGAGGGACACACCTCCTTTAAAGTGTCCTGCTCTGTGCTCTCTGTAGCCAGAGCAGGACCGTGAGGAAGCTCCAGGAGTTTTCCAGAGGCAGCAGTTCTCAGTGGCTTGAAATATTTTCTTGTGCAGTAGCAGTAGCACATTCTGTTTAGAAAAGGGCTTAATTTTCTGTTTGTTTTTCAGGGTCCCACTTTTCTATGTGCCTTTCTGAATCCATCTGTCCTCAAGATGTCTCACCACATGAACAGCTCCATGCTGCCAACCTCGCATCCTCCTGACCATCACCACCCCTCCACCACAGCCTCGGGACACGGTCACGGATCTGACATGATGATGATGGTAAGTGGAGAAGTCAGAGTTAACAGAGGGTTTTCCTTGTCTGTGGTTCAGAGTAACTTGTAATCTTAAAGACTGTGCTCTTGAGAGCTGGAAATGAACCTGAGCTTTGGAAGGCAGGAATCCATCCAGGTTAAACCCAGATCCCATTGCGGGTCTTCTGGAGTGAAGGAGCGTCATGAGGGATACAGAGCAGGAAATTGATTTCAGAGCTAGAGGTCCTTTGGCAAAATTGTCTTTTCTTGCCAAAACCTTTCCAGCAGCCAGCCTGGTGTCTGCTCTGCAGCCAGCTAAGGGCAGAAATGCAAGGCAAGAGTTTTCCTGCAGGAAATGGATGGATGGAGTTCTCCAGGCAGCCTTGAGAGGATTGCCCAGCAGTGTGAGGGGCTGTGCTGAGCTCCCTGTGTGCCCTGAACTCTCAGAGCACACTCGGTTTGGGGAGCACAGCACTGCCAGGGCTCTTTGCCATGCTGGCAGCAAGGCTGCATTGGTTCTGATTCCTGCTGTTTCAGCTGCCTTTGATTCCAGCAGGTTCAGACTTGTGCATTTTGGCATCACTGAGCCTTTGCAGAGATCCTGGCCAGAGTTTCCCTGGAGATGGCCGGAGGATCAGTGTTTGTGCGTAGCCAGCTCTAGGAACTTCTTCAGCTTTTTCTCCTTTTCCTAAATAACTTTTGGAGTGAGCTTCAGATTATTAAAACATGTCTGTTTATGGTTAAATTTCAAAAGGAGGGGAGAGAGGGCACATTTCCATTTCAAATGAGAGTGTTCTCAGGAGTGGATTTTGCAAATTTTCAATAGAAGTTTGTTTGCCAGCTCTGTGCCTGAGGAGAGAACCAAGAATCTCTGCTTCTATTGCAACCAGTGTCACAGCAGGAGAGGAGAGCACCAGAACAACCTTGGTGGGCATGGCCCGTATGGAGCTCTCAGTCCAGCACTGGCATTGCTCTCCTTGTGAAGCTCTTCCCATCACCTCAGCTCAGTATTGGCATTCCTGGGCCATTACTTTCCATGTAAATGTCGTTTCTTTACAAATGTCAAGTGTTCACTGAGTAGTTACAGGACCCTGCCTTGCCCTGCAGCTGAAAACTGTGAGTAATTGCACGAGATTTTGAATTTATATTGCAAATAAATCTGTCAGGGAAGGCAGTACATAGGTACAGTGTCTTAGATAACAGACTGAGCACATTTAATGTGTGTTTTCCCATTCTTCACTGGTACCAAGTCACAGACTCAGGTTCAGCTGCAGTTCTTTGATTTATGTGGGTTTTGTTTCAAATGTAAATATGCTCATTTTGTTGAAGAGATGAAAGTACTCTCTAAAAGGTGTTTTACAGTAATTTCTGCTCTGGGGAAAATGAGCTGATTCTTACGGATGCTGAAATGAATCATAATTCTGAGCTTCAGCAAATAACCTTAATTAAGTAGCGAGGGAAGTTCAAAGAGAAGTTCCTCTTGCTTGGTAAGGACTTGCCATGTGAAAGCCCCATGTGCATCTGTGCCCAACACATGCCAAGCTGTATTTACCTGGATGGGAAGTTTGTGCCACCTCCAGCTGGCCTGGGGATCTTTGATGTCTCACCTTCCCACAGCATTCACTGTGCAGGCTCAGGAGCCCTTGTTTTCATCCAGGGGCAGCTGTGGATCAGCTTTACCTCCTTGTGCAGCTGTTGTTTAGGCCTCTGTTTCCCATAGGAGATTGGGAATTCCTTAGGGAGACAACACTGCTGGCACAGTGCAGGAGGGGACCCAAGGACTGTACAGCCCTTACCTGTATCATACAGATGAGGTCCACGTGGGGAAGGGAAAGTGCCCTGTACCCCAGTTCCTGAGGGGATGGGGAGGCAAGGAGGAGCTCCATGGAGCCATCCCTAATCCCTGACTGCTGCTGATGCTGAGCAGAAAAGGAGCTTCAAAAGCAAGGTAGAGGGCACTTCCCTGGAGTTCTGTGAAGGACAGAGCCTCCTGCCTAGGGCTGCCTGAAGGAGGTGGGAACTGGAGCCTGGAGCATCTCATCCCTTGTGTGTGTGACACCAGATCTCCTGGAGAGTTCCTTGGTGGTTAGGTGGTGACCAAATAAACTGATCTGAGTTCTTGTTCCTGTACAAACCCCATTGTTGCACCTTGCTCTGGGCTCCTTGGGATGAGCTCTTCAGGCTCATCTTGGTGTTCTCTGTATTTTGGGCAGGCCATGACTTTCCACTTCAGCTGTGAGAATGTGCCATTGCTGTTCTCTGGACTCACAATCAATTCTCCTGGAGGTTAGTAACACTGTCTTGTGCAGTCCAAACAAAGGGTTTGCAGTCGGTGTTTCAGGATTCACGTTTCAGGAATTACTTTGTTACTTGTGTTAAAAATCTGTGGACATGCTGTGTTGAGTCTGGTTTAAATGGCATCTGTGGGGTGAAAGAAAAATGGAGATATTCGTAGAGTTCAAGAATTTGGTTTTATTAGCAAAAGTGATCGCTGCTTTTGCTTTATGGGTGAAATTCTAGTGAGTGTCTGGATGAAATTCCCATTTCCCACCTATCTGTGCATGCACATGGAGCCTGGCCCCAGCAAAATGGGGTTGATCAATCACACAGTGACTCTGCTGACACATTCCAGAGACAATAATATTTCCTCTTTTGTCAGAAATGGCTGGTGCTTTTGTGGCTGTCTTCTTCCTGGCCATGTTTTATGAAGGCCTTAAGATTGCCCGGGAGTGTCTGCTCCGTAAATCCCAAGTCAGCATCCGCTATAACTCCATGCCAGTGCCCGGCCCCAATGGCACCATCCTGATGGAGACACACAAAACCGTGGGGTAAGGATTGCACTTCATTCTAAAGCAAAGCTCTGCAGGTGAAACTGGCACAGAAGAAACTTTGTGCAGCCAGTTTTGATCTCTGGAGAGTGTCCTGGCTCCACACTGGGATGCTGCATGGCACTGGAGGATGGGGACAAAAGGAGGAAAGCAGCAAGGAGCCAGATGAGCTTGGGGTTTTTGTAATGAACACATCTGGGGAAGTTCCCAGGAACAGAGTTTGGGTGTTACATCCAGTGACCCCGACAGAAAACACTCAGGATCCTTTTGTTTACAGGTAGTCAAGGCCTCTGTGCAGAACAGGAGCCATTCAGCTTTTAAAGGGGGGGTAAAAGAAAGTCTGTTTCTCAGCTAAAAGTTGTGTCCTCCAAGCTCCATGCTTGCTTTGCACTGTGAGCAAAACCCCAGCTCCAGGTGCCAGCTGCACACGGGAGTCCCTGCCCAGGCTGGTGTCACCTTCTCTGCCACCCCACGCCCACCTTGCTGTCCTGGCAGCTTTCTCTCTGGGGATGTGCATTTCCCACCTGTTCCCTTTGCTGACTTGTTTGGCTTTGTGTTCCCAGCCAGCAGATGCTGAGCTTGCCCCACCTGCTGCAGACTGTGCTGCACATCATCCAGGTGGTGGTCAGCTACTTCCTCATGCTGATCTTCATGACCTACAACGGGTACCTGTGCATCGCCGTGGCCGCGGGAGCGGGCACCGGATACTTCTTCTTCAGCTGGAAAAAGGCAGTGGTGGTGGATATCACAGAGCACTGCCATTAACACTGGATGTGCCCACAGGCCTCCCCACCCCGCTGCTCCCTGCAAGCGCGGCCACCCGAGGACTGGAGCATTCCTAAGCTGCCAAGAGAATCATGATAAAGAAAATAAACTGGAGTTCACCACAAGTTCCTGGAGGGATGCAGGGATGTGAGGAGCTGGGACGTGCTGTTCCCCTTGACTTTTGAGAGTCCATGGCAGCCATTCTTGGTCAGGATTTGCTTTATTCTTAGATTATGCTGTGATTGAAATTAGTTGGCTGACAGAACTGTAGAAATTATTATTCTAAAAAGAAAACAAAACCATTTTATTTTTAAATTGTAAATGCTCATCAGTGAGGGTTTAATGAACAGTAGGAAAAGATCAAAGTTACCAATAATGTGTGAATGGCTGTTTTAATTTTGATTTTTTTTTTCAATGTGTACATAATGCCAGGGGAAGAGATTGCCCTGGCATTGTGGCTTTTGGGGCCAATGACACCCTTTGCTGTAGGACTCAGCCTCTAAGGAAGATTTGGTGCTGCATATCAGACACGCTCAGGTGTGTCCTGGCAAGGGAGGACTTTGACCCAGGATGTGACCTGTGTGCTTCAGGGTTTGGATGAACCTGCCCTCCAAGCCCACCAGAGGATGATGAGTGTTGTTAATGTGATGTACCCAGAGTTTTACTCAGCCTCCAGGGAGAACACTTGAGTTTGGCTGCTTTCCCTTCACAATTATGGAACAGATGCAGGATAATAGTTCTGTGTTTTCAGAGCAAAAAGATTCCAAATCCACCATTGAACTCACAGGTACTTCATGTGGAACTGCACCTGGAGGGAACTAGAAGTAAGCTTTGGGTTACTAGAACTGCTTCTGTAAATGAGGCAAGAGCTAAATAATGATTTCATGACACTAAAGTTAAAATGGCTGGAGAGTATTCCTGGATGGACGTGAAAGGGGAAAGCAACCATGTTCCTGTAAAGGAGAGATTTGGGGAAGAGGAGCAGGAAAATACAGGACTACAGCAGCCCTCAGTGTCTTCTCAGGTGAAATTTGGAGCAGAGTGAGCTAATCAAATAGTATTCCTGACCCAGATGACTCCATTTGTCTTGATAATCACAGTGTGCCCATGCTGGAGGTGCAGGTTCTCAGTGCAGTGGGGGACAGGTGCTGTGGTGCAGTGAAGAGCTCAGTGCCCAGGCAGGACAGGCTGTGAGAGGGCAGAACCACCCTCCTGCCTGCCTGCTGCCTTGGGGAGCAGCTCTGCTTTAGCACCTGGATGTTAAAAAAAAGCTCTGCAGAGCATGGTGCAAAGCTGGACTCCTCCCTCTACCCAGCTTTTGCCCAGTTTGTGCCTGTAACTGGCTGGAAGAGAAGACAGTGGGAATTTGAGAGCAGGCACCACTTTCAGACTGAAGCTGGTGTCTGGTACATGCCACGAGAACAGGAAATCCTGCTGGGATAAAGCCTCTGGGCACACACAGGAAGGTTTTTTCCCCTGAAGATGCTGCTGGTGACTGCTGGCAGCAGCTGTGTGAGGAAAGCTGATCTTTGGAATGAGATTTTTTAGCCCCTAAGCCTTAGAGGGTGAGGCCATCCCTGTGTACCTGGATGCTCCATGGTGCTGGTGCTGCTGTCCCTGCACAGAGCCCACCCTCCCATCCTCTTTAAGGAAATCCAGAACTGCTGCTACCAGGGCTTGAATTGCACCTCCTCAAGTCAGCTCTCCTGGGCTGATGCCAACTGTTTATTTGGACATTTTGTTTTCTCTGGACAGTGAAACTAGAGAATTAAAGGAGCTGAGTTAAAAGCAGGCTTAGGTTCCTAAAGAGCTGCTTTCTGTAGCAAATTTGCATCTGGGTGAAACAGGCAAAGTTGTTTTAATGGAAAAGTTCTAGCCACCTCCTGCTGAAAGACAGGGAAAGTGCTTCCTTCCCCAGTCTGATCTTAGGAGGGAGTTCTGTCTGTGGCAGAATCTATTGGTGCCCTCTCTGCACCTGTCGCAAATGTAAAACTCTCCTGTGCCCTCCAGGCAATCATGTGAGGGGAAACCTGACCCTCCCCAACCCTGGAGAGCTGGGGGGAATCTTAGTGTTGGACAGAGAAAATGGACAATCCTTTCCCACTCCTGCTGGAACTGAGAGGAAATCTGAGTGTTTGTTAGAGGAGACTGGAGCTGTTAAAAGCTGGAGAGGGTGGTTGATGTTGTGGGAGGTTTGCACTGCAGGGCTTGACCCCTGAAGGAGATCAGGATGACATTGCCACCTGCTGCCATTGGTTTTTCTGGAAGGGGCTGGAATTGTTGCCATCACAATCAAGGGTGGAGTGAGGAGTGGCTGTGTGGTGACACTGGTCACCTCATGTACCTCTTGCCATGTCTTTCTTTGAAACAGAATCTACTTGGCCTGATCTTGCTGTCACCTTTTAGCCACTTTTCTGTGTATCCAAGTGACCAGACTTGAATTCTCTGAGGGATGACTTGGAGATCAGGCTGTGGCTTGTGCAGTGTCAATCTGATTCTTGTTTTTTCTGCCTCGTTCTGCTTGTACCACCTGTGCCCTTGGAAGAGTTTCCCTGCAGGATGAGATTCCAAGGCTCATCTCCTGCCCATGCTGTCCCCAGAGAGGGCACACAGCTTTGTCCAGCATGCACAGGGAGGGGACACTGCCGTGGCAGGGCTCACCTGGGCAGGAGTCTCTCAGGTGCCCCAGCTGCTCCCACAGCCTGCACGAGGGGTGGTTTGGGCACCCTGGGCTGCTCAGGGACGTGAGAAGGGAAGTGGCTGAGGAGAGGGTGAGGCTGTGTCCCCTCTGCACAGCTGGGGAAGGGCTGTGTCAGGCTGTTCCCTCCTGCCATGGCTGTGCTTTCCTCGGTTCAGTGTCACAATCCAGAGAAGCCACCAACCTCGCTGTGGCCCAGCTTCCCCCTTGCCACCATGGTGTGTTCTCAGCCCGGGTTGCTGCGTGCTGTGGCAGAGCCTGAGCAAAGCCTGAGCTCCCTCTGGACAGGGTCAGCAGCTCTGGGGCAGCCCCAGCCCCTCTGCGGAATTTAAAGTTGTTCTGGTTACACGGGGAGGGGAGGGCTCGAAGGATGACCGGACGTGGCTCCGTTATTAAACTCCTGTGGTGACACACACACAGCGTGCTTGGGGGTGCAGTCCTGTCTGGGGGCCACAGCCTGGGCCTGGCTGTGTGCCCTGAGCTGTGCTCTGCACACCTCTGCCTCCAGATCACCATCGAGGAGGGAGCTCAGAGCATCCAGGCCCTGTCCCTCAGTGGGCTTTCGTTGCTTTTCTCTGAGTGCCTTTTTTTGAGTTTGTCTGGAGCCAGTCCCACCCAATCCAGCAGGATTTCTAGTTTTGTTTACAGTGGACTGTCAGTTTTGTTTTTACTCTTGCTCTTTGTGGTGGTAACTTGTCTGATGTTAATGTGAATATCAAGAATCTCCTGTACATAATTAACCAATAAAATAGGTTGCATTTTACTGTGGTGGGGGTGTGTTTTGGGAACAATCCTCAGTGTATCCCTCAGAGGGCTCAGTGTTCCTGTTCAGGTGCTGTGGAGTGGGAGTGAGGAGCAGCATCTGCTGGGCCCTGCTGGGAATGCCAGACCAGCAGAGCAATCCCTGATCATTTGATATGGTGTTAGACAAGAAAAGCAGCTCTTTCCAATTGGAAAAGTTAGAAGTTCTGTACATTTCCCCAGCCTGACCTGAAATTTGATGCACCTACAACACGGGAAGTTTGAATTTAACTGAAGTCCACTTTGGAGGATTGCTGAAAACCCAGACCTGCTCATTGTGCTGAAGATGGGAGGAAACAGACCTGGCCAGAGGCAGGGAGATCCTCCAGCTCCTGAATTCCCTGCAGGTGTCCTGTGGCAGCCTGCCCTGCTCCTTCCCCAGGCTGCAGGGAGCAGAGTTTCCAGAGCACCAAGAAGCTGCTCAGATTTTTAAGTTGCTTCCTTCAGCTCAGCCCACTGTGTGCCTCCTGAGTGGGCTCTGCCCCAAATCTCACATTCATCTAAATCCAATCTCGCCTCACCCTGCCCAGGCACCTGATGGGAGTAAATCCAGGGACCTGCTGAAGAAATCAATGTGCCATTGGCCTTTTCATGTGACACCACCCATAAGGAACTGTTTGGTGGCCTTTGATCCAAGCAGCAAACAGCCCTGAGCTCCACTCCAGCCGCTCGTGAGATTATTGTTATTTTCTTAAAAAAAATACGTTTATTTAAACAAAACACTCGGCCAAGGGGCGTTGACGGGCATGTTAACAAAACTTAAAAAACAAAACTGTAACAGCTCAGAGAGGGGAGGCGAGGCCCGTCCGGCCCCCCGGGGCAACCCCCGTTAGAACTCGAAGGTGCCGAAGTGCGCGGTGCGACCGCCGGCCTTGGGCTGCGGCTTGTACCCGATGCGGTCATTGATGAGCTGCTCGCGGCTCTTGTGCTCCGTGCCCAGCGCTCCTATCGCCGCCGCCGCCTCCTCGCCACCCGCCGCCGCCTCCGCCTCGTCCCGCTGCTTCCTGCGGCTCTGCGGGACAACGGGCCAGTCAGGGCCGGGGCCGGGCCGAGCCCCCCGCGCCCGGCCCCGCGCGCACCTCCAGCTCCTTCCGGACGCTCTCGAACTCCTCGATGTCGTCCAGCTTCAGCTCCAGCCGCGTCGGCTTCCGACGGAGCATCGCGACCGGCGGCACCGCGACAGGACCCGCCGCTCCCGCCCTCCGCGGGCCCCGCCACACCTCCCGGCGTGCCCCGCGCGTCCCGCCCTACAGCGGTACTGCATCTCCCGGCGTGCCCCGCGCGTCCCGCCCTACAGCGGTACTGCATCTCCCGGCGTGCCCCGCGCGACCCGTCCTTAAAGAGCCATCCAAGCGCGCCCCGCCCTCAGGAGGCCGCCACACTTCCCGGCATTCCCTGCGCGACCCGGAAGTAGTTGTGAGGCGCCGGAGCCCGAGTGCGGCGAGTCTTGCCCTGTTCGCGTTCTCCGGTTCCTATTCCCAGGCTTGTTATCGGTCCCTGGTCCTGTTCCCGGTGCCGCTCCCGCCATGGCCACCGCGCGGGCACCGGCGGTGCGCGCCGGGGCCCGGCCCCCCGAGGTGAGTGTCTGGGAGATGGGGGCGGCTCCGGGCCCGTTCCCCGCAGGAGCGGGAGAGGCCGCGGGGGTCGCAGCTGCTGTCGCTGTGTGGGGTTTACGATGCTCCGGTGACACCAGAGCGATTTAAAGGAGCCCTAAGGCTCAAGTGTTTTCCTGCGTTTTTACACAATTCTGATTGTTCTCCCGGGAAGTTTGTGTGAGGCTCCCCTTCGGATGGGTTCACTTTCCCCAGCCTTCCAGGGAGGGCGCTGGGAGCTGGAGGATGGCATTGCTCCAGCTGTGCTGGCACTCAACAGGAGGAAAAGCTTCGTGTTCTAAAGCTTTTTCAAAAAACGCTACAGATAAGAAATAATAAGGACACAACATTGCCTGATTTAAGCAATTTAATGTGGTATTTTAGTTTTGCACCTTGGCCTTCGGGCAAAAACTTCAATATCCAGTGGCTGCTCCATCCATGGAAGTGTCCCAGGCCAGG